TTCTGGAAATAATTTCCTCTTTTTCATTGTGTTGGCTCTTTTTCGATTGTAATTTAGAAGAAATCGCTTTCCAAATTTACCTTAAATATTTATGATTAAAAGTATATTGTACTAAATAATACCAGTTAATAGTTATCATAAATCAATAACAATTAAATAATAAATTAATAATTTAGTTTACCTGGACTACAGTTAGTTATCGTTTTGTGAATTGTTCTTAAATATTGCTTTGAATTAAAAGATACAACAGCTGCCTCCACTTTTGTTGTATAACTACCTTTTCCCGAGAAATTCAATCTTTTACCTGCTACGAATTTGTTTATTAAAGCTTTGAACTGTTCGCATATATTATTATTTTTGTTCTCTAACAAACTATCTGCGTTAGATACAAGCCGCGATGTATATTTTTTTATTTCATACATTATTCCAGAGGTTTCAGCCTCGGGAACCAAGTTTTGTTCGTTATTTTTCGACCCGTGACAAAAATAAGAACTACAATTTATATGTTGGCCAAGTCGATGGGATTCGCAATATCTTTTTGGATACCTACAATATGAAAATACAATTAATTTTACTATATTTTATTTTTGAATTATGTATAAATTATTTTATTGATTTGTTTGGTTAATTTATTACAATACAAATAACGTTGAAAATATTCCTGCAACTATCGGGTGACCGACAAATCGGCAATAATTAATTTTTACGTTTATTTATCACAGCATTTGTGGAAAATATGACGTCAAGGGGGTACCGCTCGTGACAGTGGCGTGGCGAAGGTATTATTTTGGAGCGATTGCTCCTTCAAAATTTTTGGTGGGTGGGTGGTCCCCTTGCCACAAAATACCTAGGTAGCTACCTTGGTGACTAGGTTTATGATAGAAAATATTAATACGTATACGAATATGTGTCTTACTTGTGTAAGACATAGGTACGTGCTAGTGTGCTACACTCACTCAACAGCATAAAACCTGTTAATATTATAGAAGTAAATCAGTACTTACGCCAAACATATCGGTCTATCCAATGCAGACGGTTGTTGTTGGTCGGTTACAATGCATTATGATTATTATTATTAGGAATACACAGATAAGCTGGTTCGTTTTTAGAAATTTGCTCAACGACCGCGATTGCTTATACCCGCATAATAATATAGTTATTGGTGAATTATTAATAGAAAACAGTGCGAGCGCTTGTTATCATATTTGATTATACTCTGTCCCAAAAGAGAATAATCAGTCGGCCGACCGGTTTTCATCAGAGCCGCGCATCTCCCACCAACTTCCCCGTGTTAACGTGATCACGTGGTTCTCGACGCACCAATCGAATCATTCGTGATGCGCGAAAAGTGATTATTCTCTCTTGGGATAGAGTATAAATACTATAAATATTTTTATTCAATATTCAATGGTAATACTCTGCTCGTAGTCCGTACTGCTGTCTGCTGTATATCCAATATTCCAGTGCGAGACGTGAGTGTGCGACTACGACATTTTCTCATTCTCATAAACTCATAACACATCAATTATAATTTTGAAGCATTGTGACTTGCGACCATTTTGGTTTTCTAAAGTTTTATTTATTTTGATTTAATCGTGTCTGACGACAAAGCATGTTTATGTGGTAAAAAAAAATTAACATAAATCCGACGAATTGGAAAAGGCATTTAAATGCGTGCAAAACGATAAAAAAAAAATTCATCTTCAAAATATCTAAATACATATTTTAAAAGATTTTTGAAGACTTCTAGTTCTACTGAGTCTGATGCTAAAAAAATAAAATAAATGGTAAGTACCACTTAAATATTATACTAATATTATTAATATTATTGTTATGTATCATATTTTATTTGTAGAATTTAAATTTTAAACTACCTTCATATTTTTTTTTATCTAGGTACCTACCTACAAATATTAGATGTTAGTTATTTACAATTAAGTTTTTATAACTATAATTGAATCGGTTATTTATGAAAGTCCCCCCCCAAGTTCAAAAATTGAAACTTTCGAGAAATTAAAAATAACTGTTTTTCTCATACAAATTTGCATGATAAATAATATTTTAAATGTTCATGTAGGTACTATTAAAGTATTAACAGCTGTTATTATCAAAACAGTTTAATTGGAAAAATGTTTACCTATTTATGAATGGGTTAAAAAGTAGACTATTTTCAAAATTAAGCTATACGATGGCCGCGTGCCTGGCAGCCATCGAGGATCTACTTCGGGGGCACGGAAAGTCAGCCTCGGTCGACTACGGTTTGCCCCTCACCGTATTAAAAATACAATGTTGGCATTGTAAACTAAAACAAAACTATTCTAGGATAATTTACCTTCTTGTATCTCTTATAAAAACAAGGTTCTGTCCGTTGAGAGTCCATCTGTATTGCGGAATTTTACCAAAAATATAAAAATTTGCTTCACAATCCAACATCACGGTTTTACCGGAAGTAGTTACAATTTCCATCGGTTCAGTTATAAACCTTACATAACCTATTGTTGACAAATTATACAAGCAAAATTATTAACATTTGCTTGGGCACTAGCGACGAGCCTGTGTATAGAAAATATAGCATTTATTTTGTACTCACTTCGTACCTGCGTGGTGAACATCATAATATTTAAAAATAATATAAATATACTCATAATGACGCATAATAATAACCACAGTCGACAAGCGAAAAAACGTACGTACAAAAAGAAAAATGTGAACATAACCTGAAAAACAACAGGTACAATAAATTACATTTCGGAGACGTATCAAAGTACAACCAAAGAATAAACAAGAAACGACACTCTGCCATGTGATAACATAGTGGAGGCTCAGCTTTGAATTTATGATCGATTTACTGGAGGCTCAGCCTTGAAGTTGGTACCGGTTTTTGTTTACAATAAACCACATGTATAGTAATATTTTATATTACAACTATTTGTTTACATAATATTTGAATTTTGCGAGTCGCTTTTGAATCTTTTTCATTGCTACTATAAACAAAAAATAAATTTACAAAAATTATGACGGATGTCGTAGATATTATACTTTTTTTTTTATGTTATAAATTGGGATGATTTACCAAATGGATATAATCCTGAAGAAACAGATGCAAGAGTAAATACTCCAAAGACAGATTTGCCAAGTACCTCTTTTAAAACATGCATTCAATGCAGAAAATTAAACACATCAACACCCAGGTTCGAACCCTGAACCACTGTTTTATCGCTAATATTTCGCACGACTTCGCTACGACACGCGCCGTGTAAAAACGTTGAATTATTAATTCAATAGTCTTGTATTAAAATTTTACACTTTTTGGCCCAACAAATAAAACTTTATTGATAATTATAGAAAAAGAAACTAAAAAACTTTAAAACTGAAAATGTACGTAAACAGCTCAAAAAGAGTCGAAATATTTTCAAAATTGTATGGTGTGTAGTAAATGCTAAAATCATTTAATATTATTTAATATTGATAACCTAACCTACTAACATTGACATATTTATCATGATATAGCCTAATATAAAATATTACTTATATATTACTTTAATTAGAAAAAAACTAGTAATTTATTATTTTAAAAACTTTCCTTTATTTATCATTTACATATATTTCAACAATTTAAAGACAACATATTTAATGTCCCGCTTTTTGCCAGTTATTTTGATCTTGGTGGTGAGTGTGCATTCGGTTAAAATAAAAAAATGAATAAAATAAAATAAATACTCAACTCCTAAGAGGACGCTACCCATGCATTTGTTGTATATATATATATATGTATATGTCATAAATATTTTTAAATATAAAATAAAAAAATATAAAATATATATGTATTTTTTTTTTATATTTTTATATGTCATATAATTTTAAAATGTCTTATAATATAGTATATTGCACATGCCCACTAGTATGCCGGAAGAGAGGGTTCGGTATGTTACATTGTTACCTGTGACTTTTAAGTTTAATCTCCTCCTAAACCATAATCCCTCCGGTGGAGCTATGCCTTTTTTTTATGTATATATTTAGAAGGTCTCTTGGTCACATATAGATTCGAATCAGTAGCGCCGCCACGTCGATCCGAACCTTAAGCTAAGCGGTTTCACCACGTCAAGGTGGACCTTATTCGAAACCGCCACCCTTACGCCTAGCCATCCTCCCTAATTACGTAAGTGTGGTCAAATGATCCGTGTTGTTAATTAGAGATTGGGGGGATCTTATATACTAATGTTTAACTGCTAAGGGCTTACATAACTAATTTAATAATAAACACCACGGATCACTTGATTAATAAATTACATTTTTTTTTTAATTTTTCTTTTTTTTTAAAACAAGTACAAGTAACAAGTGAAAATTACAATTTAAAAGTATCTGAAAATACATAATATTATACAATTATTGAATTATGTATGGTATTTTCAGAGATGGGCAAGAAAATAATTACTTAACCCACCTTTGCACATTTTATGAAAGTTTTAGGTACTCACAATTTTTTAAACCTGAAACATGAAATTAATAAACGATAATAATACTCTCAATATTTTTTGGTTATTTAGCGGAATCCGGGGTAAAACCTCAATGTAATTAATCATACATAACGCTATAATAATCAAAACGCATAAACTTTTTCAGTAATTGACAATTCACTGTTTGTGTTGATTGTTCATAACTTACAATCCCGTATGTACTAAGCAAATTATATGATAATATTAATATTAATGTAATTAATTTTAGTATTAGGCATTAGTACCATAAAATGAATTCTTAGTTTCTGCGTTCATGTATTGCTTTATGCTTGTGCAATAAATACGGCGTTTCGAAAACACGATTGCAGAAAATATTAGAACATCTATATGGTTTTGATCCTGTGTGTATTAGGTTATCATGATATCCTAGGTCTTGTAAGCAACCAAATGTCAATGGACATTTGGGGCAATTCATTCTTATGTTTTCGTTACTGTGTGTTTTCTGTTTATGCCTGGTTACACCGTAGCTCGTGGAAAAATATTTTAAGAATTCATATCAAGGATATCTTTTTTTATTGTGTTTATTTGTATATGTCTCTTAAGTGCATCTTTTCTGCCAAACACATGATCACACTTTTCACAAAAATGTGTTGGCTCCATATGTTTGGTGATGTGTAGGGCAAGCCAACTTTTGTAAAGAAATGTTTTCTTACATATAGCACACTCATATAAGTCTTTTCGTATTTCTTGTATGTTGATATTATCATGGGTGTACTCATCATCAGCAGCTGGCATCATGCAAGCCCCTTGATAATTGATTTGAAAATGTCCTGTGCCATTAATTTCACAGCTGTGGCATATACAAGCATTGTTCTCATCTCCAAAATAATTAGCACCATAGTTGATTGTTATTTCATCACCAGGCTGGATTTTTCCGAGCGCTTTAATTAAAAAAAGGTGGGTAAAGTGGATGTCGCTCTGCTGTACAGTAGGTTACAAGTGGGTCGCTGTATAATGGATGGTATCAAATTTGAATTCAATGATATAATATCATTGTATAAGAAAAACGATTCTGAGCGAAGACGGTCAGTCAGTCTATGATACATTTATATAACTAAGCATATTTGATGATATTATTGTGAATAAAGTGATTTATATATGAGCTATTTACGTCGAACCTTGTTTTACATTTTTAATCCTTAGCTATAAAAATTGAACATTTTATACATTTTTAACTACTAAATAGTTTGTAGATAATCAATTCGATAAATGTCGTCTAAATTTGAACTTTAAACGATTATAAAAAAAAATTGTGTCTATGTATTTTAAATATTTTTCAAGTGCTATTGTAACGATATATCAGGAGCCTTGTATTCAATTTTCACGCTTTTTGGCCCAACAATTAAAATGTTATTAACATTCATAAAAAGAAAACCTAAAAAAAATGGAAATTGACAATATTCGTAAAGAGCTCAAAAAGAGTCAAAATATTTTCAAAATTTAATGGTGAATATAAAATAAGAATTTAAACATTCAGTCATATTTTCGTGTATCTACAATAATTCGTTTTTAAATTACAACAAAATAACAAATTAGCTACATGAGAAATCGAGTGAATATCCAATGTTGTAAAAATATGAACTTCAAACGCTCATAAAAATTTAATGTGACTTTCTTGTAGAGATTTTTTTATTGATAAAGGTAGACAAACTTACGAAGAATCTTGTATTACATTTTAAAAGAATACGTTTTTCTATTTATATAACTTGATTAAAATATTTATAAACATGTTTTTTAGTACTTGATGTATAATCATAATGTATGAACATTATGTCATATTATAAATATTAATTTATCTTAGTATAATATTATTATGGAAACAAATTAAAACACATACCTACTAAAATTTTTTTAAATGTTGTAAACTAAAAAAAATCTTTTTTTTTATTGGAGAAGAGAAACATTTACTATCTTAAAATCTAACAAAAACCTTATATACTTTTAAGCACACTTTTAATAATAACTGTTATCGTACCAAAAATAAAGTAAATGCAAGTTAATCGTATGACCTTTAAAATGTAACTTAACTATACAATTAATTACAAGATACTTTCAGTAGGTAAACGGCGTTTACTTGGCGAAAATAATAAAGGCTGGTCGATAATATAAATGTTTTATTAGACTTTCCGTGATAAGTGAAAACTTACTATAGTACAGTGGCGTCCGCAGGATTTTTCAATGGGGGGGTGCTTGAAAATTCGTTACATTTTTATTTTGTCCAGTCTAATAATTTCAGACGTTTATTTGAGGTATTTTAAAATTTTTGTAACTTTTCAACTTTCTGGTAGAAAAAATGCTCTGATCATAAGCTGTATAAATCATAATCATAATGCCCAGTGTATGTTTTTGGAAGCAAATTGGATCTTGTTGGTACTTTTAGGGGGGTCGAAATTGAAAATTCTAAGTGCTTTTAAAAATAATTAGAGAAAAAAAAATGAAAATTTATTTAAATGTTTGGTTATACCGTCTTCACTTGGATTGTATTTGAATAATTAAATTTTTTTTTCTATATAAATGTTAATAAAAAATTATATTTAATTATTATAACATAATTATATTTATCCGGTCAAAAACCTTAAAAATGTAATATGTAAGTTATTTTATTATAGCTAAAATATTAACGATACATAGGCATAGTGTTTGAAAATTTCATGAAATTTAGAAAAAATTAAATATTTCAGTATTTTGATATATTTTGTTTTATTTTTAAATAAGTTTTATATTTACATATAATTGTCATAAATTACCTTCATAACTATATAGTACCTGTATGTATACCTAACCTTTGGTAGGTATTATACATTTAAAATGGTATTCAACATTATTAAATACTTTAATGTTTAAATGGTACAAGTAGGTATACAATATTATACATGTTTATAGTATAAATACTGAATTCTGTCATTAGAATTTAGAACAATGAACATTGTGTTAAAAAAATAAAAAAATAGTGTTTTTATTTGTGTAAAATAATTTCAAAGTGTCAGGTTTTTGTGGAATATTTCATACTTCGAACACTACATAGGCACCATTGTTATTTCTTATAAGCATTTAAAGTTCAAATTTTTTCAAAATGACAGTTAATTTGTAGTTCAAAACTTATAAAATATAAAATATATATTATGCTAAGGCTAGACAATTTAATACAAGGTCTTTCATACAAGTAGTTCATACTTTTACCTAAAAATTACAGATAATTTATGAAAATTGGTATGCAAATACAATGTTCTTTCAAAAATGAATTCATTCTGGTAAGACATATATGAAATTTACTTCTTGCTTACTATAGTTGACAGTTTAACTTGATTAATATTTTTTTGAAAAAGTAACAATAATACGTGCAATGGGGGGGGGCTTCAGCCCTTTAGCCCCCCCCCTCTGCGGACGCCACTGCTATAGTGTATCAATTTTTTATATTATTTTAATGTAATAACACAAAATGTATAAACTTATAACAAAAATATGCACTATAAATTGATAAATTTAAAAATAACCACTGCACGCAATTCGGTTGTGTCTCGAGAAAATCGCGCACGCAACAAAAAAAACGGAAAAACTACACTGTAAGGATGCCTGATATGGTTCGGCAGCTTCAGTGGGAGGTGTTGAGCGTTGCGTTCACCAGGATCGCAGCGTCGCTCATGGACGGCGGCATGACCGTACACTCGACGTTCGGACTTAAGTTCGGCATGCTGGCCGAAGACTCGACGTCCTCCATCAGCTCATTATAACGCTCAATGATCAAGTCTAGCGTCACGCACAATAATCCAGTCTACGTGACAATCGATGTTCAAGTATTGATGACGCTCGATTATCAAGTCTACGTGACGGACGTGAGGTTCAATGATCAAGTCTAGCGTCACGCTACATGTTCAAGTCTAGGTGATGCGGAGAGATTGACAACCTCCACGTGGTCTCTTTTCATTTAAGCTATATCAATTATATATTCATTTATACCTACTTCAAAATACATGGTTAATGTAATGTAAAAAAGCGTTTAAATAATATTATTTCACTTTGTAACGTTAGTTTAAATTATTCTTAACCTTTTTACATCTGAACGAATAACTTTTTATAATGATCTACATATAATCTAATATATATTATTAAAGTTGAGATTGTATTCGCAATCCTATACTGTGACATGGGCGTCCCCAGGGGGGGGGGCAAGACGGGGCACTTGATCCCCTGGAATAATGTTATTTCCACAGAAATTGGTAAAATTCCAAATGATAAATTAGTTTCTAATACTAGATAAATATAACAAAGCGTTATTTTTTCATTGTTCTAATCACAGGTTAAATTTAGTTATAAGGTAAACAATGATTATTTTTAGATTGAAGTTCCGTAGGGTATAAATTTTCAATAAATATTTTTCAGCCATTACGACACTGCCCGTTGTGCAACTTCATCACGTATGATCAACTCCCGCGGCACATCGCAAATGTGCATCGTGGGTTGATCATACACCCCGTGCGGGACAACGTCAAAAAAATTAGTACTATTATAAGCGCCAAGGCAAAAAAAGGGATAAAACTTGTGCGCCTGAACAGAATTGTCGATACCGTTGGAAGAAAAAGGTGGTTGGACCAGTCATTTAGAAAGTCCATTTGGAAGTGAGTTTTAAAATATGGTTTCCATGTTTTTATTAATCTGCAAATGTTTCTTACTTACAGGCTCTTCAACATCCTCCAGGTGGAGATTTGGGATGGGGATTGGGAGCTGCCCAATGTCCCGACCATAAGAAATCTGGACGGAATCGTTAGGCATTGTAGGATCAGAGAAGACCGTCATGATGATACACCGCCTACACTAATGCATTCGCCACCACCTACACCAACAAATCGCCAGACGTATAAGGAACCAGATACGCCCCAATATACCGCACCGCCAGAAAGCACACCCACACACCGCGAGATTGTTACCTCAACACCCTCAACACCACACGAAACCATTGAAGAGGATCATGGGAAGAAAGAGTGAATTTCATTTTTCTTGAATTAAATTATTTTTCATCGTATAAATTATTTAATTTATCATGTTTTTTTCCTAGGCCGGAATCGCAAATGCTGCACTGCAAGCTAGTGATGGACGGGTTGCAGCAGAAACTGCCAGCTGATCACCCGTTCCTGAAGCTGTGCCAGTCATCGCTGTTGCAAACGCATCCAACCCAGCCAAATGCCGTTAAAAATTACTTAGCGATCCTGAGTCGGGTGTTTCGGTACGTAAGCGACCAGCTTACGATTAACGTTAGAGGGAAATTTCACTGGCTTGAATTATTGCAGCACCCGAAACTAATTATAGACTACCTGAAACGGTAAGCATAAATACTGAATGTTATGCGAAGGATAAATATTACAATCGAAAATTCGTTTCCACAGTCGCGAGAATGCAGGACAGACATACAGTACAACAATCGCCTACCTCAAGGTCATCAAACCGATGCTAACGAAAGCCGTGAGTCTGTTCCCGTATCAAGACCCAACATTCCCTATGGTCGACGGGGTGCCCGACCGTAGGGAATGTGACAGGGTACTATATACTTTAAACTCGCTGAAGGACACTTTCAAAGGACGGGGTAAGTTGTCGACGCAGGAAACGTTTTCAAACAAAGTACTGGCGGCCGACACCTTACCCTCGTTTAGCATTATCGAGGATCTGGTAACTAAAATGAAATCAGAAATGGATGATCATTTAGTGGATCTTGAAATTCTTTTTAACACTACAACGGCGAA